TTTTTGAGGATATTTTATATTGAAAATTTCATAAAACTTTTTTTAGTTAAACGTGATGAAAATTTTTATTTTTGATAACAAATATTTTAGTTGTTTAACTCACATAAAACTTTATTTTGCTTTTCGATTTTTTCGGTAAAATTATTTCTATCCTTTTACTTCTTTTTTTTTAATTGCTCCCAGATTTGAGTCGGTTTTAAATTTAATAAATTTATTCAATAATTGCGTTGTCAAATCCCAATGCAGCAAGTTGTCCCACAGCTGCGGTTCGTAGGTTCCAGGGATTTTATACCAACACAAAATTAACAAATAACTTTTTGCGAGTGTTTGCCTACTCGCGCCCCGCGACTTTTAATCCCAACCATTTCTTACAAAAACGTATTAGAGGGGCTCATGTATTCTATAACTTTGATTCGAAAAGTTTCAAACTCGTTACAATCAAAGTTGGAAATACTACACTGTACTTGGCTGCTCTACGAGCAATAACAATCTCGTCATATTACAGAAAAAATATTGCCCTTTTGTTCTCACAAGACTGTGTAAAAAAGGTATTTTACATTATGCGGGCTTTGGGTATCTATATCTACTATATGTAACACCAAGAAAAATTATTATATTACATATGTATAATCATTCTGATAAAAAATCTATTTATGTAAATATAAAAGTTAGGACAATTTGTATTTAAGTTTACTAATTATAATTATTAGTCATTTTATCTATCCGTTCTTACTGATAAGACATTATAATAAAAAAGCGTTAAAACCACATCCCAGAAATATTTACATTTTCTAAAGATTAAAATATGAAACGATCCAATTACAATTATTAATTAATATTGTTATATTAGTTATACTGTATACTTTATTTGTCACATTAAAAAGGCCCACTTTGAAATTACTTATGGTATTATTACACAGTTTAACACGATTTCCCTCATGAAAATTTTTAACAGATTTTAAAAAATAGAGGTTTATAAACCCGTGTCTCACCGTTTCATGAAATCACGTCATTTAAATTTTTGATACAGCCATTCTTATTATTTTAACATATTCAGATATTTACTTGTCAATTTTGTTATAAATCATTTTTTTTTCAAATATTGTATCTTTTTACATAATACAAAAATTATACTTAAAATAATATAAAAAAAATATTTTCTATTTAAAATTTTTGATTTTTTTTTAATAAAACAACAGATCTTGTAGTTTGACGGTCATACATACATATGTATATTGCTTTAGAATCTATAGTGGTATCACAACCTAAAAAACACCACTTGATATATTTCGTTTATGTGCAACACCTTGTATTAAATTTCAAATGTACCTACATTGGCAAACTGATTTTATGGCGTTTTAGTCAAGTTAACAACAGAGGCTTTTGGACATTTTAGTCACGGGCTGAAGTTAGCTTTATTAAGTATAGTATGCATCTCGTTTTATAAACTTATCTAGACACTCGTTTTTATTAAACACTCGCTCGCAAGCTTCGCTCGTTATTAATAGAACTTATAACTGAAATGGCGTTTATAAAACTTAATACATAATATACTATTAAAAAGAAGATTTTATGGTTGTCAGTAAATAATTTTTTTAAAACTATACAGTCTAGCTGTTATGTGCCAAATAACGTGGATAACATTTTATTGCATCGCACTAAAAAAAATGACGAGATCTGAAAAAACGCCGAGACACCGATATCATTTTTTTAATTATTTTTTCAAAATCTGTAGAAATTTATTTTATAATATACAGGGTGTTATGTAATTAATGTTATATATTAAAATACTGAATACCTTTTGACATAAGGAATAAAGAAAAAATATTTAAAAAAACATTTTTCCAAAGATAAAGAAAAAATATGCATTAGAAGTTTTTTATATTTTTTGTGATACGCCACTGGTTACACACTTGTTTATCTCTGCACACCTGTATTTTGTGAGTACATAGATACCAACCAACAAAGTAGCTATGCGTTGCCAGATGTAAAAAATTGTTACTAAAAATTTGTCTTCGAAAAAATAAATAAAAACTCAATAAATACAAAAGTTTTATGCCCTTAAAGCTCTAATACCCTTCTGTATTTATTTACTGATCCAGCTATTAGCTTAAGCAATGATTAGAAAATTTAGTACCTTTGAAATTTGAAATCCATAACCACAAAATTAATTTTTTCATCAGTTTTTTTCTCTGTTTACTCAGATGAAATTGGGACGAGTTCACAGGTTAAACTTTAAACATTTAATTTGTGTAAATAAATCCAAAAGCACTTCCCTTAGTTAAGATATGCACTAGATTCTGTCATAAAAGTTGGCAGATTTTGTTTGAATTTACCTTCAGTACAAAAATGAAATAACCAACAATTAATAAAAACGCCAAATTGACAATTTGCATTGTTAATTTTGTCATTTTTGTAATTAAGCTAAATTTAAACAATGTTTGTCTCTTTTTTGAGAGATTTTGGAATCACTGTTGTTACCAACCATAACATAATAAATCCACCAGATTAACCTAAAGTTCCTAGTCGATCAGTGGCTACTTTTTGGTAGGATAAAGGTTATTATAAATTATTTTTAGACTTTGGAATTTAGAAAAAAAAAGTTTCAGGTGCTTCTTTATGGACCCTAAGGAACAACCCATTTTAATATATAACATTAATTACATAACACCCTGTACGATCTATTAGGGTGCTTTTTAATTTTCAAACATTGTTTTTTTTTCACTCCGCATCGAAATTTTGTTGTAACAATCTAAAAAATAATGTTATGTAAGTTTCAGCTCTTAATATTAATATTAAATATTAAGTAAGTCACCTTAGCGTCGAAAGATTTCCCATTAAAAAGTCACGTTAACTTGGATTTGTTTTTTTTCTTCAAATTTTTATAGTTCAAAAGAATTAAACGATCTACAAAACGGTCAATTAAAGTTGATTTTTGTATACAATTTTTGTTCTTTTTGCTTTCATAAATGACTAGACTACACTAGAAAAATGTAAATGATAAATTTATAGAAATTTAAATTTTTTACAACAAAGTTCTTTGAGCCAAATCTCTAAAATTAATATTTCACGAGATATTGAGGTTTAACTTATTTGTACTATCAGATTACTAGATAATTATAGAGGATTATAATCCGTAGCAAATTTTATATCACAAATAAATGTGAAAGCATTTTATAGAGACGCAACGTATCGTAGTGTGAATAATTATAATTGAGGAGCGTCTGGTCAAAACCAAATATGTCCACTTCCGGCGAAAATTTAAGTAAGCACTATTGGTTGTAGTGGGAGGTCATTCGCGTCTGTAACCACCTTGAAGTTGGTTGAATACCAATATTTCCTTTTTAAAATGAGATCCAAAAACAAGAGGTCTGAGCAAATATGTCCAACCAACTAATCACAGCTCTCCATCCAGTAACGTGACATCGAGATGGCAGACTAATAATAATAATCCCGCATACCTAGGTAAATTCAAAAAAACAAATTTTTATAATTCGGACGGTAGGACTGATCTAAAACAAATAAGTCACATACAATCTGGCCATAAACAAACATGTTCTTTCTTAAAAGTTGTTTTTTTCATTCTGAAAGTATTTTGATTCCGTTGGCTTATTCAGGCGTGCTAGGGAGGCCAAAAGGATACACGCTTTATATTGCAAGAATTTAATGTAAGCACTTAATTTAAAAACAGTTTTTTTGCTCTCCTGAAAAGTATAATCAGAGCACAGACCAACAAACAAATGGACCGGTTTATTTACATTGAAAAGAGTGGAAAGGAACAAAAATAAATAATTTCCCTCAGTTGTCACATCTGACTTTATTTTGTTTGTAGGTCTGTGAATCAGAGGGATATATTTGGTTTTGACCGGACGTTCCTTAATTATTGATGTAAATTGTATTGTTGATTGTCACTGTCAGTGTTTTGGTTTTGGGTTAAGTTTTTGGACATTCTTTTTAGTTTGTCGCACTCTAGTCATTTTGCTAAAACACTACTACTACTGGCTACTGTATTTAATAATTAAATTTTAATTATTAACTAATAACATATCAAAAAACAACAAAGGACTTTACGTTTTAGAATTCAATCCTCTTTTTTCTGTAGTCCATAAATTTTAAGAAACCCTGTATTATACACTATAATAGTGTGCCCCCTTCGTCCCCCACCCATAGATCCGCCACTGGATTCCATTGTCATGCCTAAATAAACGATCTTTAATCGAATTAGGTATGCAAAAAAATATAATTACAAAGTTTTTTCGTAAAAATTTGATTCCAATATTTATAATTGTAGGGGATTTATTAATTATTAATTTATGCAGCAGGCAACATGTTAATAACCTCCAAAAACATTGAAATTTTAAAATAAAAATTTAAGGTAATTATAGCAAGTAGGTAGGTACTCAGTGAGTACATGAGTACCACTCATGTTCTGTTGGTAGTAGCATATAGGTACTTCCTATTTTTGATAAGCGGTGGGATAACTATATTATCCAAGTAATTACATAAAACTTGTTTTTATCATAACATAAATTATAATAAATTAATTGATAGTAACGAAGTACTTCCAGTTATTGACCTTAAAAATTACAACTAATATATTTGGAAAACCGGTTGAATCATCTAATGAAAATAATAGTAATCAATGATTAGTAATCATGTGGATTAAAAAACACATTTTTTTACATTTGCTTTCATAATTTTTTTAATTAAATAACGTGATACCGGCCGGCACATAGATATTTTCTTTACCCGCCTCGAATGCCGCATTGAAAATGAAAGTTGAATTTGTTGCATTTATGCATTAAAAATGCGTGGTGTTCTAACACGATTGTCTACAAAACATAACCTCAATTAACAAATTCATGCGATAAACAAAACATTTATCAAGCTCTTGAGCAATAAAAAGGGGTTTAACCGTGTGTCAGTTCTAAAAACAGGTAGATTCAATTGCCACGGCGAAAAATTGGCAAATAAGTGAAAAAAGATCCAGAAAAACTTACTTTATTAATTGGAACACTTTTTACAAAAGATGGATATTTGGCAACCACCGAAAATTCGTTATTTCTAAACAGACGAACGCGACACAATACTCTCGGTAGCGCCATTTTGATCGCACTGAAAAGGGATATTATGAAATCCCGAAACTGGGTTTGCAGCCTGCGCACAGTCAATTCCCGACCAAAACACAAGTCTTCTTATTTAAAAATGCATCCTCGAAATAAATGTCATTAACGTTTTAAATTAATTTTTTAAATTGCATAATGACCTTATGTGTATTCTGGGTTGTCTAATCTTTTTTATTTTATTATCATTGATTAACGATTTAATTATGTCTTTTAAAACATAATAAAGAATAATTTGCGTTTCAGATGAAGTATTACTACAGTACTTATTTATTTAAAACTTGTATTATATTTACCAAACAGAGTATTAAATAATTTTCTATTAACATTTTTAAATGAATATTTTTTTAAACTTGGAACAAATTGCCATCTAGCAGATAAATCGCAAAGCAACTCAACAAAGGGTAACATCATTGCCTGTAATTTTAAATTTAATTTGACAGTTGACATTTTCTTTTATAAATCCTTAGGCCTCTAAAATTAAGCGCTAAAACAAAGTAAGCGATAATAAACCAACATTTAAATTAAAGACTTATATTTTTTTGTTTTTAGATGGAACCAATGACACTGGGTAGCGCGCCTTCAAGTCCAGCTTCTCCAGGCATAAACCCAAACTTTTTACCAGGATTTTTAATGGGGGACACGCAGCCCAGCACACCAAACCCAAGCACATCACCTGGACGAAACAGAAATTCCGGTAATTTCAAAATGGGGATGGCAGTTACAGAACCTCGAAGCCTAAGACAGAAATTGTTCAACCAGTCATTAACTGAGAGTCCTGCCTCTATGTCGCCTTTCTCTGCTGTGTCGGAAAAAGCAGGTCCGCCAAAACAGGGGCTGTTTGATACGCTTGAACAAAATAGAAAGCCTACAAGTCCTATTATGAGTAGTACGGCTGTGCATTATGCAGATTCGCCAATTTTTAACGAAAGTGTGTCTAGGATAAACGAGGAGAGTTTCAATTATAGTAGGAATATGAGTAATATGGATAGAACAGTTAATACTAGCAGGGTGGAAAAAATTGATTCTAACTGGATTACTGTATTTGGTTTTCCTCCTAGTGCTTTAACTTTAGTTCTTTCTCAATTTTCAAATTGTGGGCCAATTGCAGATAAAAAGATTCCTTCTCAGGGGAACTGGATACACATAAAGTATAATAATTTAAATGAGGTTTCTAGAGCATTATCTTTAAATGGTAGATTTTTGAATAACAATATTATGATAGGGGTACAGTTACATAACTTTAGGGAAAATAAGGAGAATAACGATTGTTCTACAGGGTATACATCTCCAATAAGAGCAAGGTCTCTGAGACATTCTTTCATATCTCCTCACCATTCTAATACTGTGATTGCCCCACAAACTGTTCCACAAAAATCAACTGGGCTTGTTACTAAAGCTATGGAGTATGTTTTTGGGTGGTAATTAATAAATTTACTTTGTTAGGTATCTCTTTTTAAATTTATAATATCTTGTTGTAGTAGGTGTCATATTTATATGTTTGTATTGTTTTATTCAGCAGTGTAGAGTAATTTTACAGTGGTACTTATATTTTTTTAAATCTATGTTTAAATATTGTCTAATACCATAATAATAATATGTTTTAATCTATTTAATCAAATGTATTAAGTTTTTTTATAATTATTCTGCATTCTTACATTGATAATAAAGTATTTTTATATTTTCTTTGTTTAAATTGACAATTAAAGAATAACATATTAAGTCCAATCTTTAGAAAAACAGTTTTAAGATAATACAGGGTGTCTGGAGATTGCACATCAAACCCAAGCACATTGTATAAACAAAATAGGAATTCCGGTAATTTCAAAATAGTAATGTCGGTTACAGAATCCTTCAAAAATTATTTAAACAGTCATCAATTAACTGTCTATATTATTTTTTTGCAATGCAGTAAGTATTTGCAGCTGCTTATTATATCTTACAAAAATTATTTGACCAGTCCTTAACTGTCTATATTCTTTTCTCTTAAGCAAATTTTAACTGACTACAAAAGATTTTATATATATATATATATATATATATATATATATATACAGGTGGTTAAATGAAATTTTTTAATATATAGAGTTGTTGGAAAATTCCCGGAAGTTTGGCGTTTTATATTAATTATTCTTTTAATTTTATGAATTTTTTATAAATAATATTTAAATTCAAATACTTTAACATATTTATTATGTTAAAATATTTTGATTTAAATATCAATTATAAAAAATTCATAAAATTTAAAAAATAAATATAAAAAACGCCAAATTTCTGGGAATTATTAAAACTTTTTATAATTCTAAATTCTTACATTAATAATTAAGAATTTTTGGGTACCTATAAGAATAGGTGACCTATTCTATAATTTTGCAATGAAAGAAAACATACTAAGTACAAATTTATTTGAAAAACCTACATTAAACCACAATATACAAATTAAAATACAGTCTATTAGTTAATTTTGAGATTATAAAAGGTGTGTAAAATTCCAGTACAATGAAAGACCATAGATTTAAAAGTTGCTTTGTTTGGAGCAGATCCAATATGAAAAATACAAAATTTGTAAAAAAGCATTGAAACTCTGGCAGGTAACAAAGCAACTTTTGACATAAGTAAATGGTATTTTGTTTTACAGGCATTTTACGACACCCTGTATAAATAGATATTAATAGTAAATGACTTCTACATATTATATTTATATTACATAAAATTAAAAAATAATATTAAAATCACTTTTCATCAATAGTGGCATTGGATAAATCAGTCATTCTGGGGTATTTTATATTCTTTTTGTTTAGTTTTTCTTGAGCCCATAAAATTAACCTCAGAAGAGAGTTAATTTTGGGTGCAGTTGATTCTTGATGTTCCATTTTTAAAATAGCTGCATTAACTTCACTTGCAATCTAAATAAAAATATACTTAATTATTGATTATTAATTTAATACTCAAAATTACCTTTTGTCTGTGTGAGGGGGCCAATAAATCACCAAAGGGACTGTTTATTGGATCTTCAAAAGCCAATAATGCAACTGTCCTTTCTAACTCAGTTAAAACCGATGGATCTTCTTCTCCTGCCTCACTCAAATGACTTTGTGCAAATGCAAGGGCCTCTTCTACTCTATTGTTACGAATTAACTCTATTAAATGTAATTGCTAAAAAATATAAAATGGTAAAACAAATTATTAGGGAAATACTTTGATGAATAAAAAAATTCGTTAATATTTTGTAATTTTTAAAAGTATAAATAATGATATAAGGATTAGATACCACATCCATTAATTACGTGAGGCATTTTTCTGATAATTTTGACCCCTTCCTCCCCCTTGTTGAGATGTGGTAGACCCCCTATCCCTCACGTGAGATTCTAGCCATTCTTTGCGGACATGATAAACCCAAAAAATAAAAATTGATTACTTTTTTTTGACAATTTTGAATTATAGGTAATACATATTCATTAAACCCAAAAGTTGACGTGAGATTTTTAATGACCCCCTCTCCCTTAACATGAGATTTGGTGAGATTTTGCTAAACCCCTCCCCCCCTATTTTTATCTCATGTAATTAATGGATGTCCCCATAAGTTTACTTTGTGGTAAATGTAACTATGTATGTAAATATGTTCTTTTCTTTAATATATTTAATACTGTAGTATTATACAGGGTGAAACATGAAGGTTGGGAAAAAATTAAATGGTGGATTCTGCCATTTTTTAAACATGGATTTAGCCAGCATTTAATGTAATGTAACGTAACGTAATTTAACAAAAAATTGTGCCATTTACACAACATTTAGTACATGGTGTGAAACAGATATTGGCAAGACTGTGGTTGACTGAAGCATAATACAAAGATTTTAACCACTAAACAATACAACTAACCTTCAAACATTTGATAAAAAATTTTACTGTTGCAAATAAGGTTGGTATTAAACTGCTCAAGCACAGATTAATTTTATAATATAATTTAAGAAAAGTTAAAATTTGGCCAACTTTCCATTACATTTTGCTAAATGCTGGGGTTATACAATTTAATATTTTAAATTTAATTACTTTACATTACATTAAATGCTGGCTAAATCCACCTTAAGACTTAATCTTTGCTTATTTGATTATATTCCTGTCACCTTTATTTACATCTGTAATAATTTTTACTAAGAAATACACCCTAATTTTTATCCAACCTTTATGAAACACACTGTATATAACATAAAAACCTCCATTTTATGATTTTAAATACCTGTAAATGAAAATATAGGTATCTATCATTGTCTAGTAACTCTGGATGCAGCTGGTTAATAAAACTGGTAGCCTCTTGTATTCGTCCATTAATAATTGCATCTCGGATTCGAATTCTGTCATCCAAGGAATTTAACTCAACTGATGGTATAACACCTGATTCCTGCTGGAATTTCTCAGCTGCCTCCTTAAACCCCTCTAAAATACCCGCATAAAAAACTAAAATTAGATTTTTTGATTCTTTATCTTACCAGTTACTAAATAATTCATTATAAGTTTGTTCATATTAGTGCGGCCTACGTCTTTATCTTTATCTTCCAAAAGCTTAAGCCAGTCTTCCTTTGTTGTAATTTCATGTTTATCATTGTAACTCATTCTTTTTTGCTTGACAATTTTGACGAATAATAATAAACTTTGACAGCAAGTAACTGTTCGTGCAGAAATGCCAACTAAATAAACTGTCAAAATTTTACATCGAATTTTCATTGAATAAAGACGCAGTAGCTAATGCGTTTTAGATAAAGACAGTTAACAGAAATAAAGCATGAAAAACTCGAAATTACAATAATGCCTTTAGATCAATGCAAAAATAACTACGTAATTACCTACCTGTATTATCCAGCTTTATTTTCTTTCCACTTCGTCTTGGCATTTTTATATCACTGCGTAAAAACAAAACATAAAACGAATAAATATACAGTTTATTAATTAGCAGTACCCTTTTAGGTTTAAATAAATATTATTGTTACATGCCTGTGTAAATATTTCGTGGTGTTAAACTATAAATAAATTATAACTTGCAAACAATGCACTTGTGCAGGCACACCACCACACAAACGAATGTAATTTGGGTTGCATACAACGATTTCATTTATATTCAGTGGTCTAATATTAAACAGCAAATTCCATCACAGTTATCAAAATTCGGAAGCCAAGACTTGTCTAGAAAGTCTGGCTAAAGCTTAGTCAAAGACTTGCCAAGACTTGGTCTTGAAAGTCTGGCTAAAGGTTGGTCAGAGACTTAAAAGCCAAGACTCGCTTTTGAAAGCCTGGTCAGAGATTAGGAAGCCATGTCTGGCTTTGTCAGAGACTTGGGATCCAAGACTCGGTCTTGAAAGTCTGACTTAATCTTGTTCAGAGACTTGGAAGCCAAGACTCGGTTTTGAAGCCTGGTCCCGTTGTCAATCATTTCCTACATGGGCTGCCTCACCAAAATAAAATGTCACGGGCTGTCACTGGGACCTATATTAGGCGTTTTCTTTGTGATGTATGGGCGCCGTGATAGATATACCTCTCTATCCGTGATAGATATACCCAGAGACAAGGGAGAGAGAGAGAGAGAAGATTCTTTGAATAGGGATTTCGGTCAACAATTTAGATGCGCAGGGCTGCACACAGATTTCAATGTAAATTTCTGCGTATTTGTTGGCAGTGCTGCACCGAAAAGGCGCAATTATGTTCTTTACTGTCGTCTGTCAGTCTGCTGTCAGTAAATACTAATGTTGCTTTTGTGGTTTTGTTTATAAGTTTTATTCATAAGTTATTATAGATACCTTGTTATATTTAGCAGATTGTCAATTGTTGTAAAAAGACATTATTAAGGTCAAAGTAGGTAAGTAAATTAAAATATGGATGTGTGATAATAGTTATTTGTTTTACAAGTGTTGAAAAGCGACTTTTTCATGCGAGTGTTTAAGTTTCTCACGAGGCCGTCAGGCCGAGTGTGCATTAACACGAGCTTGAAGAAAGCTTTTCTCACATGTAAAACACAATGTTTTTTCTACGACCATTTTATTTTTTATTATTTTCAAATACAAAACAAAATAACCTAAAAACGTGTTTGACAGCTGTTAAAATTACTTTCATCTTATTCTTTTAATTTTTAAGGTATAAGTTACTTAAAATCAACAAACTTACCTTATCGATTTAAATAAAGGCACCATAGAATTTATTATACAAACACAATTAATTGTGTTCTAAATGATATTTAGACATACATATACAAATTTTGGAAGGAATGTCAAACGATGCTGTCAATTTCTTTTCACACAGACCTGTCACTTTTCACACAGAAATGTCACTTTACATTCGTGTTTTGCCTTGCCAATGAAAATATTTATTTTCTAAGCAACGGTGCCAATACTTAATGTGACTTTTACATAGTGGTCGTAGAAAAAATTATTTTCTTCTCTAATTCGATTTGATTAGTATTTTTTTGCGTTGTTTATTAAGTTCTTGCTTCAAAATATTTTCGTGTATGTTTATTTCATATTTTAATATAATTAATATTTTAATATTTTTACATTATTTATCTTTCTATTTTTGTTTATAAATTAGGTATTTGTTTTCAATGTTATTTTTGTTCATGTTTTTTATTCGTTTAGGTACCTATACGGGGTGTGTTCAGAAAATAACGGGAATTTTTATTGTTCGTCTACATTAATGCCGCCTTTAAAATAGTCCCCATTAGATATTATGCACTTGTGCCAGCTCTTCTTCCAATCCTCGAAACACTTCTCAAACTCGATCTTTGGAATAGCCTTTAGTTCTTTCAGCAATGCGCTTTTAATGTCATCTATGCTTGCAAAACGAGGGCCCTTTAAGGTTCTCTTTATTTTTGGGAATAGGAAAAAGTCAGACAGAGCCATGTGTGGCGAATATGGCGGCTGGAAATTTTATATGGGTGCCGAAACTCCCGTTATATCAGAAAGTTTTCTGGTAGGTACTTAATGTAGGATCCAAAGTTATTTCAACCAGAACAGCTACCTTCGCTGCCTCATTTCTCACCAAATTTTCAATTTCTTGTTTTTTATTTTCCGGAATTTTGCTACTAATTATAGGATGTAACCATGATATACATATGTTTGTGTCTATTTGCATCCCTCTCATGTTACAATTATGTACAATTCAATATTTTCCACTTTCTCCAATAGAATAAGCCATTTTTTTTATCAAATCTGAAGAAAACACAGATATAAATAACTATCCACATTAACTACTTTACTGAAGATTAACTCGATTTGTCGACTGATATTTGTTAGTTTAAAAACAATTAAAAAAAAAAATAATGTGAAATTTGTAAATAAGCGGTGTAGTAAAATGTTCTGAATTCCATTGCGCCATTTTAAAGAAAATTTAATGCCCTTTCAAAAGATGTATCACAACATACCCCTTTCCATTTGAAAAAATAAGGGTGAATGCCGCCCCCGCTAAGAGGTTGAAGTTATAGTGATGAAATTAATTTGTAAATATGAAAACAAAAGTGTACGGGTCCGAATTTTTTTTATTTATTTTCACATACAAAGCCGTAAACCTTGCTTGACTTTTTTTATTGGGCCACCCCTATATTTTGAAATCTAAGCATTTCCGGACACACTTTTTAAATAAATTTCCTCAAATTCTACAAAATTAAGTTTTCTAGCTAATTTAATTCTTTATTTATATAATATATTGATTAGGGTGGGTTGAAAACAAAATGTTTGTTCTTTTTTTCTTAGCATGGGGGTAGAATTTGTACCTTATAAAAAAAGAAAATTAAAAAAAAAAACAAATTTTTTACTAAACATCTTGCGGTGGCCCACTCGTTTTTTAAATAAATATTTAATCTAATGGGGTAGTTCCAACGGAAAATTCTTTTTTTTTGTTCTAGAATCTGTAGGGTGTCCCCTTAAAAGCCAATTGGAAGTCAAAAGTTGAAAAAGTTTTTTTCCCATTGTTTTTGTAATTTAAGTAAAAAATTAAAAAATGAAATGCACTTTCTTTTGTATTAATAAAATCACATTCTACAATTTTTACATGTTTTCCACGATTTTGGACCAAAAAAAGAATATCCCGTTGGAACTACCCCATTTGATTAAATATTTATTTAAAAAACGAGTGGGCCACCTCAAGATGTTGAGTAAAATTTTTTTTTCTTTTTTTATAAGGTACAAATTCTACCCCCATATATATATATATATATATATATATATATATATATGCCATAATAATGTTTGGCTGTCATTTTATTTTTTTGCTGAATATTGCTTTTAAAAAACTATTTGTGTAGGAATATTCATATATTATATCACAAGAACTATGAATTTAATCGGTTAAACTAGGCTCAGTAGTTTTTTGTTTGGTTTTTCTTGGAAAATGTTGAATGCAAAATAATTTAATAAAATCACGAGACCGCGTAGCGGTCGAGGGATTTTATTTTTAATTATTTTGCATGAAACTATTTTCCAAAAAGAAAAATCAAATAAAAAACTTACTGAGCATAGTTTGACAGATTAAATTTATAGGTTGAGTGATATACGTCCAGATTATTTCTCGAATTAAAGGAAACTATTTGACAATTCATAAAATCTGACGTATGTGTCAAAATTTATAAATATTTTTTTAAAGAAAATTCCATTAATTTAAGGTATGTAATAAGTAATAATTGATATTTCGTAAACTAGATAACTTATTTTTTATTGTTTTTTAAAAAATGTTTGTTAAAACTTGTAAATAACACCATAAAATCGTAAACAAAAATCCAATATGGAGGCTAAAATTTAATCGCTGTTAAATAGTTCTAGTGATTTAATCGCTTATTTAAACGAAATTTATTCGAAAATTCAAGGCTTTTGATTGGTTCATATTATAATGAGGGGAATAATCATATTTAATTAAGTAAAATTCAGTCAAAATTAACTTTTTTTAAGTAGTTGTAGTAAGGCATTTGGCTGAATGAAACACTTCCTTAATTTGACATTTTTATTTGCAACAAAATATTTCATAGTACATGTTTTTTTAGTTTAAGACAAATCTGTGCTTTTTATTTTGATAAATACGTATTGTGAAGGCATTATGCATTTAAATAAGTCTGCTTAAGTATATATAATAGACAGTATTATTGTAATTAAAGCATTTCATTTTTATTGCTTATTAAATTGTGCAATATATATTACACATCATAAAAAGGTTTCATGAAAGAAGAGAAAATGTTTTAGAAATGTTACAAAACCAAATATGTTATTAAATCAAAACAATAATAAATTACTTCCTTTTAAATTTATGGGCTTTACATACATATTTACATCTTTAAAATTGTAATAAAAACAAAGCATTTAAAAATAAACAGACATTTAAATTTAAATAAATATAGTATTACTATTTACAGTTTTGGGTTTTGTTTTCCCGATTTTTTAAGTAAGTTTCGCTTCAAAATAAAATATAACATATTTACAATACATTGATAATTCAACAAAAATATTACAGAGATTAAGTACATCAAATGTAACCAACACAATCGTTGGATGTATTGATTTAACAACATGAGGATTTTTTTAGTTTTCCTTATTCTGGAAAATCCAAAAATAATCACTCAGACTCAAATATCACTATAGAAGAACTTTACAAATTGTTCGCGGCGTCTTGAGGGATTGCCAACCACTGTCACAATGTTTGATAGTCGTGCAAAATGCCCCCGGTTCCCTGGTATAGCGGCTGGGGAAGCCCCGGTCCACCCAGGGTTGAGTATGTGTTCACCTGGGGCGGCCCTAACATACCGGATGTGGCGTATGGCGGCATCTTGGGACCCTCTGACTCGCTGTCCGAACCACTGGACAAGTGGGGTTTGTCGGAATTGGGCTGACCACTAGAAAAAAAAATTAATGGTATTAGAATTTTTATTTTAATTCTAAAAATTCCACAAACAAAAATAATTATACAAACAAACACGTTTTTTAAACCTTACAATCGCAATTTTATTAACAGCGGCCCTTGGGCCACTTAAAGATATTGACGAATTGTTTTATTTTAAAATAGACATATTCTTTATTGTTTAAACCACTTTATTTAATGAACACTGGTTTATTTTATGGGAATAACAGTATATTTTAATTGGTTTATAATATTAACTAGCTGTTAACCCGGATTTGTCGACCATAGACTTTTGTTGCAAAAATGGCGAATGCGCCGGGATAAATTAATTTGTTAAGCTACGACTACAGCGCCACCTATCGTATTCAGATGTTCATGGTTATTTTTAATAACTTATTAATCTATGGTCTCGACAAACAAATTGCTGCATACCCTATAGCTAAAATGAATATTTAAATATATCAAAAAATGTGAATAAACGCTTATTCAACTTATGTGTATTGTCACAAGTATGCTCTAGATACGGTAGCCCAAACTAAATTCTGGTTACCTAGTAATTTTGCTGTGTGATGCGTGCTTTGCAGACCAGCGCCCATAATTTTCTGCGATGTGAGATCCAAAAGGGTCTTTGAATTTAAGTGTTAAAAATTTTCTATAGAGTTGTATGGAAAGCTTGGTGAATGTTTCGTTTCTTTTCTTTCGAAATAATAGAGACCTAGGTCTCTTAAATTTAAGTTCCATTTTCGGAATCGCATTTGGAAAATATTCTGACAATTTTTTATGTCTGTAATTAAATTTTTAAATTGAATTGGATACTAACTGTAAAAAAAACAAAAAAAAACAAGCGCGTTAATTGTCATTGCTAATAAAAAAAAGTTAGTTTGGGCTACCGTACATGAATTAATTAAACACATAGTTAATTATCTCATAATTATAATGGCTTATATGTAGACATGGATTTAGGTAGGTATACCCGTAGGTACTCGTTGTCGACGCATTTTTGATAATTTTTTTAAAATATAGGTAAATATATATCTTTTCCAAGATTTCAAAATTAGGTATTGTTTGGTTTTGGTAAAAATTGCTTTAAAAAATTATATGATAAAAATTGCAGGTAGTAGAAATTTTAATAAACTTTAAATTTTATTTAAAAAATGCGTCAAACTATTTGGCTAAAAATGTAGGCCAATTAAAAATAAAGTTAAAATAAATTTTAATAGATTAACGAAAATATTGACATTTTTATATAATCCAAGCGGACAAACTAAGTGAAAAGAGGCAGTCTGGCAACACTGTGTAGCTTGACTAGTTTCGAATAAGCAGAAATTTTAAATAAAAAATAAATGCGGGAGAATATAACAGTTATATTTTTGGTTTGACATTTATGTTTGAATTTAATTATTATTAATATCACAATCCACACAACAAGGTCTGTTCTATCTCGTACTAAAAATACAAAAAATCACTGCAACACTGCACAGTTTAACGGCGGCCATTTTTGTTGTTTACAATTTTTGTGCTTTGGGTTTGTACTCTGTTTATACAGATTAATAATCGTATAAACGTTGTGTTTCTCATAGTAAGCCTTAAAAGAGGCCTTAAACTTTAAGGCTTAAAGTGCTAAGAACAACCATTTTACTCCTCTATTGTAAAAAATAAACTTTATTCTATCAGGGCTGTCATAAAACTGTCAAATGTCAATTTTAAGGTTAAATTATAACCCACAAATTAACCTTCAAATTGTCATTTGACAGCCCTGATAGAATAAGGTATATTTATTATAAAAGAGGAGTAAAATGGTTATCCTTGGCACTTAAAGGCCTTATTTGAGGCTTACAAGTGCCTCTGTAAGAAACTCAACGTTTAAAACAATTATTAAACAGCACAAACCCAAAGCACAAGAATTGTAAACAACAAAAATGGCCGCCGTTAAACTCTGTGCAGTGTTGCAGTGATTTTTAGTATTTTTAGCATGATATAGAACAGACCTTGTTGTGTGGATTGTGATTAATATATTATTTTACATAATATTGTTTTTTTGCGTATATAATGATAAACATTATAAATTTCCTGTATAACAAAGGAAATAATGTTAGATATCAGTGATTATTTATTATTCTTATTTTATTAAAAAAATTAACGTATATAAAATTTTACTATTTTTTTAATATGTGATACAAATTTTTAATCTATCTTCTGTGATAAGTATATTTTTATACTTAAAATATGAACGTTTTTCCAAAAAAACAAAATGATCTTTAATTATTATGTAACCGCAATTCAGACTAAAACAAACTTTGGGCCGGCATTTAGCAAATTTGTTTGGTGGGAGCGACAAAAAGGCCTGCGCTCTGTTCGGGTTCTGGCCGTGCTTTGCAAGGCGGTTTTTCAATGTTTCGGCCGACCCGGTTTATCATATCGGGTTTCGCCTGCGGGCTGCCTGCGATGGGTAATCCGATATCCGTAAACGCCGTCATCTAGGAAACAACGCTTTTACTCACACAGCCTGCCTGACTATACTTGCTTACTTTGTTGGTGGCAAGTTTTAAAACAAAAGGCACAATATCATAAAATTTAATAAGATAATGTATGAATACCATTTTGGGAGTTCATAGAAAAGAATTCAGTTAAAATAATAAGAATTGCATATACATAAGTAATTATTAATGAAGTATAGAAGAAAAATAAATAATTTCAATCATAAACAACCTTAAAAATATGAGATTTATCCATGAAAAGGTTATTTCTTATTTATTATATTATTCCTGGATAAGTTGAAAACTTATAGGTTCACCATAATAATAATAATAATAATAATAATAAAAAGTAATAATACAGAATATTATTATTATTATTACATATGTATATAATACATTCCAATAAGCTTATAGCTTGTCTAGGCATTAATATTTAAATGTTTTAAATTACATAATCAAACTTGCTAAATTAATTAAGTAAGTATTATAATATAATAATTTTTCTAGTAATTTATCTACGGGCGTAAAAACTACCCCCTTTTATTTTTAGAACCGGTACGTTGGGATTCGAACATTTCAGTAGGTATGTTAAACTAGACATTGAATACTATATAGTATAATATATATTAGGTATTTATATTTGTATGTATACATAACAAATTTGGCGTCGTATTGTAAAAAAGTCACGTTTTTTAATGGGAATTGCGGTCATGTGATATATTGTATTTACAGGGTACCTATATCCGAAATTATAACAAAAAACGCATTTTTTTAGTAAAATTTTTAACATTTGAAAATTTTATTTTAAAAATTTGAAATTGTAGTCGGTACCTAACATTAGGTAATTTTTTTTATTTTTTTATTATTATTATTAATTTAAAAAAAACAAAAGGCGTCGTAGCACCGAAAGGTCACATTTAAAAAAATACAAAGTGGGTCATGTGTCACATAACGTCTTAAATTTAGAAATGTCGTATCTCAAAAAAATCCTATTTTGAGATGGATCAAAAACTGTAACCTTACACTCTAAAATGAAATAGTCAAAATTCTACTATTTGAATTAGTACCAGCATTTTTTACTAATAAAATAGTCGTTTTCACTTTTAAATAATTATTTTTTACTACGTAAATTTAAGATGTCACCATCTTTGAGTATTTCTGAAAGTAACTAATTTCTTTAATCGTTTGCGGCCAACAACAAAGTAATTTTTGAATTAAATGCATATACCTAAGCTCCATGGTTAAATGACCCATAAAAACAAATAAAGATGCAAAAAGTTTAGCTCAAAACAGCAACACAAATAATATATTCAACTTTAAAATATTATGAACAATATTTATTGACAAATAAAATTGATTTTTATAAGAGCGGCTGATAGCCGAATGGGTTATGACACAGCTTGACAAGCTTGAATTCGCTCTGCGAGAAAAGGCCAGACAAGCTCCATGCTAATAAGAAGGGCTTAGTACAAGGGACAAAGACCGTCGGAAGACTGCGCTGCTACCACCCGTACCACGCATCTTCACCGCAGGGAGGCTCAAGAGGTGGAACCACACTTCCACGCGCCTCTTTACAGCCAACCACATCACCACATTGCGGCCTTTACTATTTTACCCTTTTTATGACTTGTAATTATTTTAATTTAGAAATATATTGATTTTGATTTTGATTTTGATTTTTTTTTGACAAGCTTGACAAGTGACAGACCTGAGTTCAATCCCCGGCTGGGTCAAAACTTTTTTTTAATTTAAATCTAATAGTTTGACTATTTCATTCAGTAGAATTTGACTAATTATTAGTGACTGCTTTTTCGCTATGACAATTAGTCAAATATGACTTATAATTAGTTATTTTTGACTAATTATAGTATATACAAATTAAACCTCTGCGGATACGACACTTTGTAAAATTAACGATACTATTAACGATACTATTTGAAAGGTCTTTTGAAGCTTGTAACTACCTATTTTTTAGATTGTACAGAATGGAATAAAAAAATTTGATATTTTTAACAGACGACCCCATTTTGAAAATTTTTCGCCAAAAAGTAGTATGATAAGAGTAACATACTAAAATTTGAAAGTTCTATATGGAGTCATAATAAAAATAACACGATTTAAATGTAAATCTTATGTTGGTAATTTTCTACAAACCATAAAAACAATCTAAAAAATAGGTTGGCTTTAAAAGTCCTTTTTAATGATGTGTCACATGACGGCACTTCCTATTGAAAAAATGTTGACAGGAGGACACCGTTCTAAAAACTTTTGAAAGTTTTCAAGTCTGATAAAAGTAATATGCTAAATTTGAAAGTTCTAAATGAAATCATTACAAAATGTAAATATTATGTTCCTAATTTCCTACAAACCCTGCAGAGTTTCATGAAAAGAATCTCAAAAATAAGTCAATTATAATTATAGTTTTAAACTTCCTAAAAAAATTTAACCTTTTGACAGGAAGACGCTGTTCTGAAATTTTTTTATATATACGTATATATAATTTTTTTAGGTCAAAAAT